ATAACCCAGGAAAATAATGGAGTCTTGTAACAGTATCTGCAGCATTCATAAGGTCTGTGTTGAGTTCAGCCCAGATCTGTCATGTCCAAAAATAATTATCATCTGATGGCTCTCTGACATTAGCCTCAACCAGCTGAGGGGGTGTTGGATCCCAGCTGGCTTTTCTCTGGTAAAAAGGTCTGATGGTTGTGGTTGCAATTCACAGGAATGCCACAGCATTTGAATACCTGGAAGAGTACCCGGTTGGAGTCCTGGCTGAGCTGGAAATGCAGACAGGGAGAAAGGCTCCCAGTGGACTGTTTGTCATCATCATGGAATATGGGAGGAATTTCTCTGGGGCTGACAAGGATGTCTTCTACTACAACCGAGCTGTGGGAGAGGCACAGCATGCCTGGCAATCCAACTTTTTGCACCCTGTTATTTACTTTTACAAACAGCTCCCAACAGGTAGGCTTTCCTGCCTGTCTCTGCTAATTATCTGATGTGAGCAAAATGGAGAGTGATGAAGATATTTCAAAGCCAAAGAGGGGGGCGGGTACCTGAAGGCATTGCACACTCTTCTCCACTTCCTTCATGTCCATCCTCTAGCGCACCCGCCACCACTGTGTGAGCTGAAAAAAAGGCTGAGAGTTAGCAAGAAGTTTCCATTGGTCAGACTGATACAGGGGGTGGGGGGTGGGTGTTGGGGGGTGTGTGTCATAATACTTCACATCTGAGAACAGGAACAAACAGACATGCTGAGAACTTCCCCATTCCCCAAAAGGAGAACTTTGCTTCCCTTTGGCTGGCACCCTGCATGTGTTTTACAGAGTCCTGGCAGATGAGGCTGAGTTGTTCAGTGTTACCAGCACAAGAAAACTGCTCTCTGTGGCTAGCCCAGGTCTGAGAGGTCACGCAGTGTTAGAGGCAGCCAAAGGCAAGGGTTTGGAGATGAGTGTTATACCCAGCAAACAAACACACTCAGAATAGATTCCCTTGGGAAATGAGTGTGCTGAGTCTTCATCTCCAGAAACCTAGGGTCAGTGTCCAGCCTGCCTTATACAGAAAGAAGCGATGGGGTAGCATCATTAAAGCTTCAGTGCAGCTCAGCCTGTCTGGCAGCCCCTGCCCAGGGGGAACAGGAGTGAAATGACAGGAAGTGCTGCAAGCAGGGACAAGGGGCAGCTGTGCAGTGGCAGGGCTGTCGAGAACAGAGCTAGTGGAGGGGATTGCAAATGAAAGTAAGATAGGGATTAAAAGGTCAGGACAAAAGCTCAAACAGCTGTCCTAGCTGCTTTCCACTCCCCAAGCTCTTTTTAATGACATTTTGATACTGAGAGATTCACTTAACTTTCTCTCGGCAGAGCGTGAGATGAGACTTCAGCACCCAGATTGGCCTCTCCCCCACCCAGATGCTATCCATCACATTGTGGAGGACTTCCTGACAGACTGGACGGCCCCTAATGCTCACATCCTGCCGCTGAGGCGGTTTTTGGAGAACTGCCTCAGCACTGACCTGCGCAATTTCTTTGCAGGTAATTTGAGCATAGGGTCGAGGAGGGATGTGAGGGACAAGCGACAGGAGCAATCTCTTCTGCAAATAGCTGAGATCTCCCTGTGGCGAGCTGGTGGTCTCATCGTCAGTCACACCTCTCTGATGCACTCCCACAGACAATAAAAAGTGCTGGTGCTCTGTGTATGTTCCTAAATAGCCTTTGCTCTTGCTCATCACCAGAAAGAGACTGCCCCAGAGTATGAGGTTGGGTTCAGTCCCTTTTCTAGCTGCGCCTTTCCTTCCTCCTCCATGATCTGAACATTCCTTTGTGCCATCGGGTACCAGATCTCTTTTCATGTACTGATGATGGGATTGCTTTCCCCTGGGAAATGGGAGTGCTGGGATGTGAGAGCTGGAGAGCCTCTACTGCCTCCCTTCCTGGTCTGAAGACTGGTCTGGGAACTTCCTGCGGGAACCCCATGTGGCACACCGAAGGAAGCAAGTGGTGTGAAGAAGATGCCAGAGAGCTGCAAGCTCAAATCCAGCTCCTTTTCTTCTCAGAGACAGACTGGAGATCCTACCCTGTACCTCCTGAGCTCTGCAGAATTAAGTCGATTACTCTGCCGCCATCCAGGGCAGAGGGGCATCTGGGAAACCAGTCGCCTTCTCTCATCCTTTTTGCGTTTTGTTTTGAGTTTATGGGAATTTTTCTCTGCTGAGTCTGATTTTTGATCCTTTCCCCTGCAGAGTCCTGTTTCCTGTTTGCCTTCACCCATCAGAAGCTCCCTCCCTTCTGTCGTCAGGGGTACATGAGACTGCAAGGGCTCGTGGGGAGCGAGGGGCTCCGGCGCCACGCAGCAGAAGCTGGCCTGCTGGAGGATTACACTCTCTCAGACTTTTTGGGTGACAGAACCCCTGACAACCACAAAGGGTCACAGGACCGGCTGCTGAGAGATCACGTGATACCAGTTCGTCCACTGCAGCATCTTGTTTATGCCAAGGATGAGCTTTAACCTTTCTCAATCCACGCTGAAATCCATAGGTGCTGTTGTGACAAGATTGTAACAGAGATCCACAGCAGGATTCTGTCTTTTCCCGTGCACCTTTTCCATCCCCATGCCTTCCACTGATCATGAGTTGCCAAAGACCTGCTCAGATCTTGCTGTTACAAAGAGGACCAACGTGCTCTGAAGGATAAGCAAGGGGCCAAAATCCAGTGATGCTGAGGCTCCCCCATTGTCCTTGCAGAGTTCAGAGTTGCCTGAAGGTGATGTTTGTGTTCATCTTGCAGACCAGTATCTGCAGCGACATCCAGGGGTCACAGAAGAGAGTGCAGGAACGCCTAGATAAATTACAAAGTCACGTCTCTCTTCAGAGGTAATCTGCTCGCACCTTCTGGAAGCCCGGTGCAAGCTCTCTGGTCCCTGGGTGCCATACATTGCATATACTTAAAAGTTTGTTTGTGTTCCGAATCCCGTGTGGTACTCCAGGCAAACTTGCTGATATTTTTCCTGCATTTGAGTTAGGGCAGTTCAGAGTGGAGAGGGGTGTTTTTTAGGTACTGTATAGGTTGGATAATTTGTCATTTCCTGGAGAGCACTACAAGGGACACTTCCCTCCACGAAGGATAAGTAGCTTGCCTGGAATGCCTGAGACACAGAGACTTACACTGAGTTTGGCTCCACTGTCCTCACATTTTTCTTCTCCTGTACCAAGCAGCCTGAAAGGTTAGCCCCTGTCTTTTATAAAAGCATGGCCAATATTTCTCCTATTTGCACTATGTCCCATCAAGAGAAAGTTTTGGGTTGACTTTGATGTTGTTAAAATGCTTGTTCTCTATTTTATTCCCCTCAGTCACCTTGAGATCTTCCCAGCATTGACTGGGAGGCTGTTTGCCCTTTATATTTCCCTCTTGTCAGCCACATGTATTTGTCCATCATCTCCCGGTGGGCTCCTTCCACAGCACCAGACTTGCAAAGCAAGAGCAGTTTTGATCCTCACCTTATGATATCCCTGTGATTTCTAGGAAATAGAGGGGGGGCAAGAGAGAACAGGATTTTACTTCCACACATGTTTTCTAACCCCTTAGTACCTAGAAAAATAAACCCCTCTGCACTTGTGCTTCCTGATACCCCAGACTGAAAAGGGGGGGTGGGGTGTGTGTACCTACATGTACATAAAACTCCTCCAGTCCTTCAAGTTGAGCTGCTGCTTCATGCTAGGAGAGGCTAGGGAGCAGAAGAGGTGCAGGAGGTGACAGATATGTTCTTGCTCCTCTCTAGGAGTACTAGGCTACACTGCTGATGCTGCTGGAAAACCTTATGTGTACACATGCAGCTGGAAAGGGCAAGCAATCACCTTCTTGGCTGGCGTTGATCACCATCCTTCTGTGGGCTTTGCCCCCACTCCAAGGCCAGGCTGGGAATGACTCTTGTGGCCAGTAGTTGCCTGGGTGGTGTCACTACTTTCTACATCCTTGGTGCCGCAGGCTTTTTATTTTGGGAGTGTCCAGGGGAAGAAAAAGGCCTGTGACTGAATTGGGTTGAGTGGTTGTCACTAAGAGCCTGTCCCATTTGTTCCCTGTCCGTGCCTCCCTGCTATACCTACGGGCACACACTTTCTCCAGATGTTTCCTCTTCCATCCTCCAATTCCAAGAGAAGATCTGCAGACTGTATGTCACAGTATGTGTGTTGCCTTAAGTGGTGATTCCCCTTCAAAAAGCAATGTATCTCCTGGCATGCTCCACGCCCGGCTCCCAGGGCTGGATCAGCTTTGCTGCCACTGGCTTCCAGCGGGTCCTGGGGATCTGCACCCCCACGGGAGCCGCACTCCACCCTGCGTGTGCTCCTGGGCGAGCGGTGCCTTTTCAGCCTCACTTCGGCAGGGCCCGGTTCCCCCGGAGCGGGCAGGGCGTGGAACGCCGGCTCTTAGTCATTTTCCATCGGGCATTGCGGTTAGACCGGCCGTGGGGGTGCGGGTCGGCGTCGGTGCCCCGCCCGTTACACGTCGTGTCCCGGGGCCGGGC